CAGTGTGACATGCAGTTTTTTCAAATTTATTGACTAGAGAAATCTTTAGAACATCATCTCCTAAAATTACATACAGGGCACATTTTGGAAAATGTTAAGCATTTGTGAGCAGACACTTTACCAGGAGATCTGGATGGACAATGAACTTCACGACAGGAATGCTTATCAAATTTATCGTAACAATGAATGATTCTGATAATCAGATGTTCAGCAACAATATAGCACTACTCATTAAGATGATAAGGGTTCATGCAGAATAGGTCTTAGTGAAATAAAAATCTGCTACCTTGAATCAAGTATGTATGTGGATTGCCCAAACCAAGAATGTTTATACTTTAAAGAGAAATGCTTCAGCTCATGAAATGGCTATAGCAGTCTGCATGGGTGCTTGGCAGTTCATCTGCAACCTGGCATAGACCCAGATTTCTTTTTTTAGTTTTACTATTAATTATTCATATATTTTTTAAAGCTTCAATTAAAATAAGGTTGAAATGCATACTTTAAAAGACAAGAAAAACAGATAATATTAAAATTATATCAAGACTTTGGAAAGGTAACATGCATTAGAGAATACAAGATTTAGACTCTAACCTGAAGAAGCAAATTATTTGACCAACCAAATGATAGAATTTGTTCAGACATACTGTTAAGATAGTAAGGTATATAAGACTCTTACGTCTTATCCTCTCCTAGAAATTTTTCCCAATAGACAACTTGGATATTTTTCTCAAGATTAATGGCTTTTAAAAACTGTTTTATTACACATCTCCAGTGTATCCCCCTCTCTCTTTCACACACACACACACACACACACACACACACACACCGCCAAATTTTTGAATCTTCTCTTTTGAAGTCCAAAAGAGTCTTCATATTAAATAAATAAAAATCGAAAAGGTGCAATTTCACCAACCACAGAAGATGTGTGAAGACTGGTCTTCTGAATTCAAGGTTGCCCCAGGATAAGTGAGTCCAGGGGAGATTAAATGAATTTCCCTATTCATAGAAATAAGAAAGTTCCCACCTCCTTTATTCTCCCCAGTAAAAAGCTTCCCCTATCAAATGACCTGGTGGCTGTTCCAGGATGGACTGCTTAGACTCTTAGGAGGGGCCCAAATGGCAGGCCCGGTCTGGGGTTGCGAGTACTTCTCTATTTCTCAGTGTTATTGTGCTCATATATACTCTAAATCTCTCTGAGTAGCAGTGTGACATACAGTTTTTTTAAATGTATTGACCAGAGAAATCTTTAGAACATCATCTCCTAGAATTACATACAGGACACATTTTGGAAAATGTTAAGCATTTGTGAGCAGACATTTTACCTACCAAAATAGTAGCAAGTTTCTTCTAACAAAGCTATGGGACCCTGAGAAAAGAAGCTCAATATTCCCCTGTGAGGATCTTTGTGGGTCTTCCAGTTGCCCTGGGATGGTAAATATGACAATAACCTGAGCTCCCAAGTGATCTGAGGCAGGACTTCTTAATCACTCACCGCAGCGCTCTGGGCCGCTGGAAACCACAAGGCTGGTTGCTAAGGACGCTGTGGGAGTCGCTCTGAGAGAGAGAGACGTCGCTCTTTTACGGTCTCGTGACCAGATCTTAGCCAATCAGGACTTAAAAGTAAATTTCCACCTGCCCTGGCCCCGTCTCCACCACATTTGTATTCAATTTCGGAAGAATAAATGCAATGCTGTGTGAAAGACCTTTATTCGTTTTTAAAGAACATAGTAATGATTTGTTTCTAATATTGTACATACTTGCATATCCTGCCAGAAACCGCGGCAAGAAGTGGCTTGACAGTGCTTTAATGTCTCCTCAGTGTCTTAATGCCGCTCCCCCAAAACAAACCAGCACGCCTATCATACCAAAAGTAGCTATGTCCTTAAATCAAATTGCTGTTCGTAAGTTCTTTCTACATAGAAAATTTGGAGCAACCAGTGTCCTCAGCACCCGTCAGTGAGTAAACAAAGCACCTAGAATGTTCAGCTATGTACTAACCACCAGAGGGCGAATTTAAACACAAAAGAATGCCTATTTTTAAAGGTAGTATGCAATAGAATTATCTAATATAAGTCCTTTAAAAATCCTTGTAGAATTCCTACGTCTACTAACGAGCAAATGTATATATCTTACAAATGTTCACCAGTGTAAAATACTATATGGAAGAATGGGGAAGAGCATTTATGATTAAATTCATATGTAGGCTGGGCGCAGTGGCTCATGCCTGTAATCCCAGCACTTTGGGAGGCCAAGGTGGGAGGATTATGAGGTCAGGAGTTTGAGACCATACTGGCTAACATGGTGAAACCCCGTCTCTACCAAAAATACAAAAGTTAGCCGGGCGTGGTGGCACGCGCCTATAATCCCAGCTACTCAGGAGGCTGAGTCAGGAGAATTGCTTGAACACAGGAGGTGGAGGCTGCAGTAAGCCGAGATCATGCCACTGCACTCCAGTCTGGGAAACAGAGCTCTGTTTTTTTTAAAAAAAAAAAAAAAACTTCAAATGTAATGTACAGGGATTGTCCTACGAAATGAACTACCTTTAAAAATTAAAACTTTGAAAGAAAATTTAACTTGAAATACCTCAATTCAGAATTAAGTTTTTTTGTTTTTTGAGTGTATTTTTATATTTAAAACAGAAATTACAATATTTGATCTCAGGCTTCTCTGACATATCACTCCTAGAAGATTAGTAAGTTAAAGGTAATAATGAAAAAATGAAATTGACAAAGGCCATAAACTACATATGTTACAGAACAAATCCTAGATGTCAACAGTGCTTACCATAATCCAGATAAAATAAAAATGAAAAGACTGTGGTATTTAATAATACTCTGCTAGCTTGCTTGTTTTAATTTCAAGAGATCTAGAAAAGTGTTAAAAGCATAAAAAATACAAACTGTTAACCAGGTTATTCATAATAAAATGAAGACTGAATAAAAAGAATAAAAGGAAGGCCAAATAAAAAATTTTTCTGCATAATATAAAAATCAATTGAAACTATACTGCATTTACAGAAAAAAGTCAACCCATCGATTCTACACCGAAGACAACAGAACATGTTTATATAAGGAAGAATTCACAAATACATACATATATTACATATATCTACTTATTCTATATATATCTACTGATTTTATATATGTATCTACTGATTTTATTTATATATATATATCAGTAGAATGAAAGATTACAGAAAAAACATAAAATTTATATATGATAAATTTGCCATTTTAACTCAGTGGGGAAAAATTGTAAAGAGGTTGAGCACAATTAAGCTAATAGGAGACCCACAATGATTACAGAAAATGACAAGAATATTTAGAAAATTCACATATGAAAACTAAATATAATAAAGTCATACCTCCC